GTTCCCTGTTTTGATGAAGGAGGTGAAGGACAAGGTTCTTAAAGGTCTCTGCCTGGTTGGCAAGACACGACCTTCCGCTGAACTTTAGCAGAGAGCAAAGGATTGTAATGTGGCCAAAGACAAAATACATTTTGAAATAACTTTATGCCCTAATATACTATGCTGCTGATTACGTCCCTCCATTTTAAGTTAACGTTAAAAATAAAAATTTTAATAATTTTATTAATAAAATTAAGTATAGAGCTTCCCAAACCATTGTTTTCTAGAGGGGAGTTTGAGGATTTGAAATCACATAGTTAATATTTCTCAAGTCTAAAATGGAAGAACAACAGTGGCTGTTAAGCACCAGTTGTTTATACCTCTAATTCTTCATAATCAGATATTTTCCCATTTATTTCCAAATTTAAAAATCATGGTTTTACAGATTTTTCCCAAAGTCATTTAAATAAGCTGTGTGAAAAAATAATTTTTATTTTTAGATATTTGTTGTTTTGTGATTTTCTATTTTACCATGTAATTAATTTATTGAGGGAAAATCCTAAGCACTCTAAAATTGTTGTTTGTCAATTATTTTGCAGTATTTAGAAAAGATGATTTTAATGAATTCTGTTTAAAAATAAACTGCCTTGGCCTATAGCTCTTGAAGTACTGCATTGTTACGGAGTTGTTGAAGTAAATTTGGAACTGGCTCTGTGCCCTTCCAGGGTGCCCTAAGCATTTGTCTGCCTGCCTCATCTCTAGAGAATATCAAAGAATTCTGTTGCTGCAATATATAAAAATGATTTTGGCAAGTGACAAACACTCCCCATTAGTTGAGATGATAACCTATAGTTATTGCCCTTTTTGATAGATGTGGCAAAGCAAAGAGTTTTTGATGTTACTTTTAAAATAGCTTAACTCTTACCCTGGCAGGAGGCTCAGTTGGTTGAGTGTCGTCCCATGCACCAAAAGATTGCGTGTTCGATTCCCAGTTTCGGGCTCTTTCCCTGGTCGGGAGCACATGGGAGGCAACGGATCTATGTTTCTCTCACACTAATGTTTCTCTCTCTCTCTCACCCTCCTTCCTTCTTTTCCTCTCTCTCTTTCTCTCTAAAAATGAATAAAAACTTAGTCTCTCATGAGAAGTAAATAAATAAATAAGATTGCTCAACTGTCATCTTAGGCATATAAGTCTGTGTGTGATTCATTTTAAGTATGTAGTTATTGACATGATTGCTCTACAACTATAGTCAGTTCAGAATTACCTTTGAGCAGAGTATTACGTTATAATTGGCCCAGTGTTGCTTTCAAATTCTAATTGACATTTCCATATAATTGGAGCACTAAGTATGTTGTTGACATAAATAGAATCTTTACGTACCATCTAACTAGAACTGGAGAAAAGTATTTTTAACCTTGCAGAATGTTGATTTGAACCAGAAAGGATGGTATTTTCTTAAATTGGCAAGGATCACCATGAAAGTTCCATGTGGAGTGGGGGCCACAGAGGCAAAACTGGACAGTTAAAACTTTATAGCAAATATCCCAGTTGTTTTCTTTGTCATCCTGGGGTGTTTATCTACACGTAATTACAAAGCCGAAAAGAACATTTATTTCAACTAACTGCCGCTATTGAATGTTCACAGATGAGAAGACTTTATGTTGTTAAGATAGTAAAACTCTTTAAATCAATCTACAGATTCAGTGCTATCCTTATCAAAAACCCAGCTGGCTTTCTTGCAGAAATTGATGTCCTGATTCTAAAATACGTTTTGAAATGCAAGGGACCCAGAATAGCGAAAACAAACTTGAAAAGGAACAAAATTTGGAGAACTCAGACTTCCTGGTTTCAAAACTTAGTACACAGCTACAATAACCAAGACTGTGTAGTACTGGCATGAGGCTCCCATATAGAATTGAAATAAACTCTTACACTTTTGGTCAATGGAGTCTTGATAAGGGTGTCAAGACAATTCAATTGAGGGGGGAAAATAGTCTTTTCAACAAGGTGGGCTGGAACAACTAGATATTCATATGCTGGTTATAAACTTGGACCCCTACCTCATACCATATATTACAATTAACTCAAAATAGCAAGTAACCTAAAACTAACAGCTAAGACTATAAAACTCTTAGAAGAAAATATAGGAGTAAATCTTTGTGACTTTATATTAGGCAGTGTTTCTTAGATAGAACAACAAAAACAAAATTAACAAAACAAAAAATAGTAAGTTGAACTTCATTAAAATTAAAAACTTTTGTGCTTCAAAAAGTACATCAAGAAAGTGAAAAGACAGCCCACAGAATGGGAGAAATATCTGCAATATATATATATTTCTCCCATATATATATATATATATATATAAGATAAGGAATTTGTGTAAGAGTACTTAAAGAACTCTTTCAACTTAATAAAAATTCATGTAATTAAACATTTCTCTAAAGAAGATATACAAATGTTCAATAATCACATGAAGGTATGCTCAGCATCATTAGACATTAGAAAAATGCAAATCAAAAAGTACTTCGCACCCAAAAGGATGGCTAAAAATTTTTTGGAAAAAGGGGGGGATGTGTTGGCAAGGATACAGAGAAACTGGAATCTTCATGCATTACTTATGGGAATATAAATTGTGCAGACGCTTCGGAAATAGAATAGCAGTTTCTCAAAAGGTTAAACACAGAGTTACCATATGACCCAACAGTTTCACCCCGAGGTATATTCCCAAGAGAACTGAAAACGTGTGTCTACACAAGAACTTCTTTTTCTTAACATTATTTCATAACGGACTATTATTTCAAATGTCCATAGCAACATTATTCATAATTAGCAAAAGTGCAAACAAATGCCCATCAAGTTGAATGGTTAAACAAAATGTGGTATATCTATACAATGAAATGTCATTTAGCCATAAAACTGAAGGAAATACTGATGCGTGCAGCAACATGGAATATTTTGAGAACATTATAGTACATAATAGAAGCCACATATCTTATGATTCTGTTCATGTGAAATGTTCGTTATAGGCAAATCCTTAGAGACAAAATGCAGATTGATTGCGAAGGGCCGTGGGGGGCCAGGGAACATGGTGAGGGAGGGCTAAGAGGTATAGGGTTCCTTTGGGGGGCTTTGAAATTGTTCTAAAATTAGTGCTGATTGCAAAACTCTGAAAAAGCTAAAAACAACTGTATTGTACTTTTTAAAAGGAATAATTTCATGTTATGTGGATTATATCTTAATAAAGTTGTTAGAAGAAAAAAAAGAGTAGATCTCAAAGCCCAGTCGAGCCTTTGCAGGGTTGCAATGAGGCCCTGCTGACACCTTGAGGGCTACCTCCTTAGTGATTCCACCCCAAAGCTGCCCAGACAAACTGCTGCTACACCTCTCACTCTCCGAACATGAGAGATAATCTTTATTTTTTTAACCCATTAAATTTGGGGATAATTTATTAAACAGCATTAGAAAGCTAACACACTAGCACTCGGCTCATTTATCCATTAACATCCCTTAAATGAAGACTGTGTTATGTGCTTAATATGTAGAGGACTAGACGAGCACTCACCCTTCATGGAGCTCCCTCTGGGTAAAAGAGGCAGATCAGAAAGTTAATGATTTTGACATAGATGCAGTCACCAGATGTTCTGACATGTGTGATAGTCACAAATGCAAATATTTTGTTAAATTTTCTTCCTAAGTATTTCTGTAACCTGCCCAATCCTCTTTCCTATGTAAGCATATATCTAGCCCTTCATAATTATATGAATGTTCAAAAGCTTACAAAGACATTCATCTTTTAAGATGTGCCTTAACCTGAAAAGTATTCTTTAATCTTATGGATTTTCCTTCCCTTTCTTTATCTCTGTGGGGAGAGATAACAATTTTTTTTTTTAAATCTATGTAGACCAAGTCCTTGACAAAACTACCAGTCCCTTTTTGAAATGTCGCTACTCAGTCTAAAAGTGAAATACATTTGTTTTTTTTACTTAGTTCACTATGACAGACTGCTTCAGTTGTCACTCTGTGTCTTGTTTTCTATAAGATATTAACCTAGCTCTGTTACGGCCAACTCTTAACTCATCTGTTGTCTTTTGCTGTTGTTGAAATGGTACTTTCAGATCCAGGAGTGCTCCATTTACAGGAGTGATTGCTGATAATGGGTCATTCTCCACGTGGTTGGTTGTTTCATTGAAACCTGAGTCCAGGACTAAAACTATTTATTTGTGACCCTGCTTCTGAAGAATAGAGTATCTGCAGAAGTACTTTATTAAAATACAGTTCAAAGCCTAACAGAGGACTAATGACTTACATAGATCAGAGTCTGCACGCGGCATGATCTCTAGCATCTGCCCTCTCCTCCGTGTGACATCCCGCTCAACTGGCCACCACCCTGGAGTAAAGGGCCTCTCTCACGCGCTTACCTGCAGTGGAAGAGTGTTTTCCATTTTGGAGATTAAATGGTTCATTTGGGTTTCTCTGTGATGGAGATGGTCCTCAGAATCAAATTCTCCTAAGAAACGAAGAACTCCAGATGTCTTTTTCTGCAATATTCCTATTACACTTTTGGCAGACCCAACCTTGCCAGGCAGCATTTTTTCCCATGGATTTTGCTTTCTTTATATTTCGGTGTCACTGGGGGCGGGGGGTTCAAGCAAGTACAGTACATTAAAGCTAATACATCACCACCTGTCAATGGCACCTTCCCCTTGGTACCCCTTTACCTTGCTGATTGAAAACATTTGGTCCCAAAAGCTTATAGTTGAGTAGCAGGAAGCTAAATGATGTATTCCAAAGCTCTTAACATATTGCCTTGTGTAAATGGCCCATTCGAGTATTTCAGAAACCAAACGGGAGAGAAAAGAACATTTCGGAGCACTGAAAAGATTAACACCTGTTTCGAGTCTTCAGAGAAACTGGAGCATACTGTATATAACCATTTACTCTCGCATGTGGAGACGTTTTATTCAAATTTCCAATTCTATATGCATAGCATCCACATGCTTATGTGTTTGTTTCTCTACAGGATTCCATACAAAACTTAGAAGATGGAGAAGTTATGAATGGTGTACAGACAGAACTACTGAAATCTCCAAAAACTAAGGATGCACTGAGGTATTCTCTCCATGTGAATGGAATATTTTCCTTCAGTTCAATGTTTGTTTCTTTAATAGTTTATGGTGGTTTTTATTTTATAGAAAAGATCAAGATAATTAGAATAGCAGAGCAAAACCTGTCCCGATTCTGAAATTAATTAGTCTTTTTTTTCATTTTCTCTATATGATACGAGAACTTCAGAACAAACATATATACAAATGAGCCTCAATCCTTCCAATTCTTTGGCAACCTGGATTCCTTAATTGCTCTTCTCTTCTCTTTGAGCAACAGTTCAAAGTGCACATTTGAGAGTTCATTTTGGTTGAGTATTTTACTCAGACGTCGGCTCTTTGAATATTGCTTTGCATTGAGTTTTAACAATTTTGCAATATTTTGTTTGATACATATAAAATGAATCCAGCCTATCAACCAAGATTTTTCATGTTTTTAATGTAAGTATCTCATTATACGAAGCCAGTCGCTCTCATGTTTACCGGTACTTTTCTCTGTACTAATTTGCAGCTCTGCTCTAGCTGCTACCTGAGTTCAATTCCCAGCCCCACTGCTAACGGGTTCTAATCACTTAGGCAAGTGACTCATCTCTTTGCTTTCATTCTGACCTGTGAAACAGAAATAATATTAAATCCTTCAGAGGATTGGTATGAAGACTGGATGAGTTAATATATGTAAAGCACTTTGAACAGTGCCTGGGTCAGAGTAAGCCCTGTGAGGATTTGCTACTGTTGCTACCCCTATATTGGAATTATCATTGTCATCATCATGGTTAGTATCATTTTGTAAGTTGCTTTAAATTTTGCGTAAGGAAAGGAATTCCGTATTTCGTGGATTGTTGACTTTGGCACCAAAGGTGATGCTTCTGAAGTTGATGGTCATTCACTCATTCATTTAGCCAACATAGTCCTTTAGTTCAGCCCAGTTACTAATAAGTGCCAAGCATTTTACATGGCATCAGCTTTAAACAAACATATGCAACCATCCTTTATTACACTGCTTTACTGTGCAGATTTTCAAGCTTCTAATTCATAGCCAAATGACATGATTACTCTTTATATAAGTTGTTTCTTTGACTAATGAGCTGCACAATAATAAAAATTTGATACAGAAAATCTCCAGGGCCTTGTCTTTTTAGAAGCTTGATAAGATTTTTTTTGGAGGTAGGCATGATGAATATAGTACTCTTATTCTGTTTGACTTTAATTTTATTTTTTTTAGTGTTAGCTTTTTGAAGTTTGCTAACATCTTGGCTAAATGTTATGTGGATAGCTGTCACAGAGTGAACAATTGTTTGGTTTGCAGCTGCATGAACAAATTAGCTAAGCTTTCGCTGGGTACAAGGAATTGAGAGAAATGGAGTTTAAGAATTTTAAAAAATAATATTCTTTAATTAAAATACATGTATAATTTGGGTATCAAACAGCCTTTCACATGAGTTTTATAATCACCTTTAGTAGGTTGAGGAATTGAAAAGTTCAGAGCAATGAAGTAACTTCTAGTGACCCAATCTACACCCGTTGCTCTTGCCTCCAAATCTTTTGACTCCAGTGTTACCTGTTTTGTGTACTGTCTCTGGTGAGAAGAATCTTAACAATATGGAATGTAACCTAGCAGGGGAAAACTTGGAGATTACAGTTCCAGGAGAGGACATTGGAGCTATAGATAGGGGGCGATGAAGAAACAGCTGAGGAGGAATTATGAAGCCACTTAGAGCAGAGTTACTTGGTCAGCCTTCCCCTAGGGCAGGGAGGGTCTGAACTTCCACAGAAGCTGGCCCAAGCATAGGACTTTGGGCTCGCTTCCCTGCAGGTGGCATAGAAGCTAGGTTAATTCTTTGCAGAGTTCACTTCTAAATGTCTTGAACTTTCTTATGTTTTAATTCCCATAGTCATTGCTCAAGCCTTTGTTATCTCTCAGCTAGACTATTATATTAACCTACTAACTCTTCTCTTCAGTATCAGTCTCTCCTCATTTTAATTGATCCCACAATTCACTGTTGGACAAAATGTAAGCTATTATTTGAAGCAGTGCTAATTGTATTCTGGGCACTATAACATATACTCATATCAAATCTATAAACACTACATTACTTCCATTTTACAGATAAATAAATGGATGCATTTTCTAAACCACAGAACTTATCAAACCATTCCTCAGGACGAAAACCTTTGGGTTTCGTTAAGTCCTGAGTTTGAACACTACCCATGTAACCATAGGCTAATTATTTAACCTTTTGAAAAATATTTTCAATATGGAAAATGAGTATTATGATCAGATAGCTTACTGTGAAGATTAAATGGCATATATTACAGGCAGTTGCTCTTAGCATAATGCTAAATGAAAGGCTGGATGTGCATTAACTGCTATTGCAGTTATCATTATCACACATACTGCAGTTTATTGTAACTATATGCCATTCATTCAAATAGGACTATGGACCCACCAACAGGTTCCTAACACCTAATACAGGTCTTGGAACAAAATAGCAGCATATTTGTTGACTGGGTGACTGAACGAACAGACTACATTGCTCCATAAATCATAAACATAAGTATTAACTGCATATCCATTATTAACACAAACACCTTTACTTAAAGAAAAATAACACTTAGAGGGTAGTCTCCAAATAGTCTTACAATATTGACCTCCGATGAAGCACCATTTGATTTATTTTGATCTTAAGAAGACAGTGAAGCATGAGATGTCTAGTGGGTGGTTTTTCTTATATTTAAAATTCAGTGTTAGCTTCTCTTTAAAGAGCAAGTGATGGGTTCCAGAGACCATCACCTCATCCCCAATTTCTGTCTCATTCCTGACCTTACCTTGTTTCTTGACGCTTCCCCACATTCGCCTACTCCAGACTTGCCTCTCCTTCCATTCTTAAAACTGCCTTCATGTTTTATCCCATCTTGTCACTTGTCTCTAATATATGTTCATTTGGCAAATTATTGGCAGAGTCCATCTGAGACTATCTCAAGCCTTTCCCCTTGTTTTCATGCTGGATTCCTATAATCATTGCTCAAGTCTTATTGCCTGTCGGATAGATTATTGCAATAATTTACTAATTCCTGTCTCCAGTACCAATCTCTCTCTTGTCTTTCCATTTCCTAATTGATCACACATATCACTGCCAGGTATATATATCTAAACCACAGCATTTATCACACTGCTTCTTAGTTCCAAAACCTTTAGTGACTCCATTTTCTACAACATTAAGTGTGGATTTTTCAGTGTAGAATTTGACATATCACTCTGAGATTTGATCTCAAACCAATGGTTCACCCTTGTCTCCTACCCACCGCAGGCAGTCAATCAATCTCTCTTTCTCTTCCCCTTCTCTTCTCTTCCCCTCACTCTCTCCGTCTTCCCCTGGCCTCCTCCCCTCTGAGCCCCGCTCTGTGTGCCCGAACCATCCCGGTTCACAGTCGCACTGCAGACTGTTCTTTGTGCATGCCCTGTCTGCCCGCTCGCCTACCTCTTTTGGTTGAAGATCCATTTGCCCTTCTCAGTTCCATCTCAAATGCAACCTCCTCCCAGAAGATTTTCTTGATTTCAGCTCCCCTTTCTGATGCTGTTACCTCTTCCTCTGAACCACATCAGAAAGTGCCTCTGCTTTGAAACACATGTCATAGTGGCCTAAAACCACTGCCCTGGACTGCAATGAATTCCAGCTTGAGTCCTGACTCTACCTTATATGAACAGTGTGATGCTGGACAAATTATTCAACTTATACATTTGATATGAGAATGCAATTAGCCCATGGCATCCCAAGTAGTAATAGCTCACTCTCACTGAGAATATACTACTATTACTACTACTTCTGTTTTATTGCTTTGTATTATTTTTTATTACCTGTCTCAACCTGCCTCCTAGATTATGAACTCTTTAGGCCCTTTGTTTTTCCCTTGCAGAACTTCCCCATTGGAACTACTCAATTAATATTTGTTGAGTTCAAGCAAATTAAGTGAACCCCACCACCATCAACAGCAAATTCTTCATTCGATGTTTACTCAGTATGTCCGTGAGCATCAGGTAGACTTCAGTGTCATGCAGACTCTTCTTGGATGTCCATCTCTGGAGCCCACCGCTCACACCCTTGTATATGACAGACTGCATCAGCCCCTAAAGACCACCGACTGCCGCCTTCTCCCCCCTTATTACAACCCTCTCTCTTCTCTCTGTCAGCAGTCTAATCCTGAAGATATGCTCCTCAGCCCTACAGTTTTTAAAGAATTTTTTAAGAAGTCTTACTGAGGAAACCAGTTGAAAATAGGTTGAAACAGGTTGAAAAAGCTTGAAATAGGTTATTGCCTTATAATCCATAAGCTGTTTGTTCCCTTAGACAGTTCTGATAATCATACAAATAGCTGGTAGTTATTGAACCCCTTGTATATACCAGACACTGACATACAATATATATATATGTTAGTTTCTCTATTTTTTTCTTTAACACCAGTAACTCCATTAGAGACTTACCTTCATTTCCTCATTGTGCACAGAAGGAAACAGGTGCTTTTGGTCTTAGTTTAAATGATTTACTCAGACACTGAACGTCACCACGAGGATATACTTCCTAATTTCATAAGTGAAGCATGATTTCCTTCTGAAACAAAATGTCTCCCCATCCCTACCCTCAGTCCAGTCTCCTCCCAACTAAACGAGCGGCCTGTGACCGAGTTAAAGAATCGTAATGTAAAAAACGCTGTCCATTTGCCTCCTGTGAAGAAATAAGACCCGCGGGCACCTGCAGCTCCTGTTGTATTCTCCCCCTCAAGCCTCAAGTCTCTGGCCTGGGTGGAACCAAATGTCACACCTCCCTCTGGTCCCGGCAGGGCAGCCACTCGGATTGGCTCATTTCTAACCCCTGGTTCTGTACCTCCCCCCATCGCTTTGCCCCAAACTCTTACTTGGGTAGCAGCCAGTGACAGTGATTATTGAATCAGCTTGTCAGTTGGCTTGGATCTTAGAATGTTTCGCTTGCTTAATACTATTGGACTTCATGCTCTGTGACTCTCTGCTTTTGTTCTTGGGTGTCATACAAAGTTGTGTCAAGTTTGCAATTTTGACCGTAGCATTTTCCTTTACCCCACAGTTCATATTTTGTCTGTTTTTCACAAGTAGGAGCCAATCCTGTTTTCTTTCTGCTGCTAGAATATCCTTTTCACCTCATTTTCTACATTGTCCATTCTCAGCCCACCCCTATAAAGAATTAAATGTGTGCAGATCCTGCTTTCTGGCCCCTGAACTCTATTCTGTAATTTACCTAAACAAATAGCATTAACAGCATATTTTCACTCTATGAGATAGCATGTCCAGCCCTACTTGATGTGTTTGTCTTCCATGAATAGCGTATAGAGAGAGATTCCTATTGAACTCTATCAAGTATATATAACACTGAGGGGTTTTTTTCTTTTAAAAATAAATAAAAATCTATGGACTGGTCTCCAAGGCCTGCTCTTTTAAAATGCATTTCTTTCTACCTTGAAACAAATAATGGATAACAATTTATAAAGCGCATGGTGAAGCACAGTCTATATAAAATTTTTAATGCCTGTCTGTATTAAATACATCTAATTCTCTCTAAGTGCCTGCATATTACAGTCAACAAGATTGAAAGTCTTGTTTTTTTCTGGTATAATAATATTTTCATGGTAGTAGTTTAACAGTTATTAAATATCCTTCAAGCCAAAAACTGTGCTATCATGTATAAATAAAAGTAATACAAAAGTTTATTCTGAAATACTGAAAAAGAAAATCTTTTGAAGTAGAAACAAGCCTTAAAAATGCATCCCCCCAAAAAGTTTAGTATTTGAAATAAGATTGATTACTTTAAGAGATTATAAGATTTACTTTATGAAGTGAATGTGGAAATACAGGATTGATAATTCCTAAGGAGCAGATATCAGTATTATACATAAAACTTACATTTACACAAGGGGTTTTGAGTGAGGTAGAGAAATATTGGCAAAATAGAGAAAAAATGAGAATACATAAAGCCATTCTAAAACTTCTTAAGCTGAAGCCTTGAAATCTATGCTAGACTAAACACTTACATTCCAAAAGCCTTTATATAATACATATGAGTGCTATCTATCAGCATGCGGATACTTAATACATTTATTAGGAAAGATGAGTGTTACACTCTAAGTACAAAACTAAAAAAACACATCATAAAGGTAGAGATAATAATGTTTCAACGGTTAAACAAGATTTTAGTCTCTTTTTTAAAAAGTCTTTAAAACAGTACCGTAACCCTAGAATGTGAATGTTTTTAGTTTAGTCTTCCTTAAATACCTTCAAATACACTGTATATCTGTTATTACGTAAAAATGATTGCCTTGTGGTCCATTAAAAGCTATATAACATACTCTGCCCACCAAACAATTTATATTCATGACTTATAATGCATACCTTTATATAGTATTTTATATACATATATTCATATAATGTCTACATTCTCACACAGAAAGTACAGAGAAGAATCTATTTTATCCCATGATATTATCGCTCTAAGATTTGCTTTGTTTCTAACTTTTATTCCAGGCATCTGCTATAACCTGCTTGACTGAACAAGTTTTAAATATATCAGCAATATCTGAGCAAAACTCATTTGAAATTTATTATCAGAGTTGAAATTCCATCATATTCCACAAATGTTGGAAACTGACATGCTCTTTTTTTGCAGTTCTTAATGATAATAGGTTTGCAAAGAAAACACATTAAAAATAAGCCTAATCCACTGATGAGAATATATTTAATGTATTTATTTTAGATTGCTGATAATTTAGAGAATACTTCATGCAGAGAGTTCATCAGGCATTTTGCTGTCTTAATGCTGTTCTCAACTTTCCTGCAAGGAGCCAAATTTCACCATTTTCAATTTGGAGCAGAAATGCATTTGTAGCAGCTGTAGCTCTTAATTTGACATCTAGTTTCAGGTCATTTTCATGTAAATAGAAAACAATAGAAACCTGCTTACAATTTCCATAACTGGGATGTTTGCTTCAACTTTATCATTTTTCCTCTGGCAATTTTATTTTCTCTCTCTGGGATTAAAGGAGCCAATAATTGTTCACGGTTATTGTTTTCCATCTTTATAAAAACGTGTTAGTTCCACTTTTTATTACTCAAAAGCTCCCAGTGTCTTCTATATTTCAGTCATACACACTCTCCATTAATGTTTCTAGCTCCTCCTTCCCTGAATCTGGAGTAGGTTAGGCGGGTCAGGCTTTCTATTTCTTTCTGTAATACATTTTCTCCAGGCTTTGCAACTTTTTATTCTACCCCTTAAAAAAGTACAGAGGTGAAAATTTGGAATTATTCCATCGAATACAGCTGATGCCTTATTAAAAGGCAACTTTAAATTTTGATTTATGACGCTTTGAACATGCCCATATACATTACCAACTGTGGCTTCACATTTGTTATAAAATTTAATTCTATGCCTTTTCTAATAAATACATATTTTATTTCATATTTCCTCTGTTTTGGGGAAAAAAAACATACATTATGATTACACATAGATGTGCTTCGCTCTATGTATATTATCATCTGTACAGTAATTTTCAAGCGTGTCTCAATGGGGAGAAATTTTATTTTCGTGTGCATCCTTTTAAATATGTTGATTTATGTAGATTAAGTAGGAAGTTATTTTTGTAGGTAGTCATTTCCATTTGTTCCTCTTCTAGGAAAAAAATAAGAAATCAGATACTCTTTGATGCATTTTATTTCCCGAATCTTCGCAACACTGTCAGTAAATCATGTACTCCTTTGATTTTATCTGTGCTGTTAAATTTATGGTAGTTGGTATAAGCCTAAGATCATTTTGTTAATGTGCCTCATCTGGTGTTTTAGCAGAGACTCATCTGTGCTCTTCTCTCCCCTGCCCAGCGAGATGACAAGAAGCGTGGAGATCTCTGCCGAAGGCGGCCCCTTGGGGATACACGTCGTCCCCTTCTTTTCCTCGCTCAGTGGAAGGTGAGCTGCGTGTCCTCCCTCGGAAGCTCGTGCTAACGCAGGCCTCGGCCAGGGCTCGCTTCCCCACACGTTTTTCAGAGGAGGTTGAAGCGCGTGTCATTGTCATTCAGACGGACACCTCGACATAGTGCTTCTGTTGGCCACTTAGGTGTTGGAAAGAAAAGAAAATCGTTTATTTCTAAGATGCTATGGAAAACAAAAACAAAACCAAAAAATCAATTGAAGTTTCTGCATTCACAATTAATTATGAAGCACTTTCTTAAAGTATTCTTATCAGTAACACTTAGGAAACAGAATTCTTAGAAAAGAATTTACCATATTTTAGATGAATCTTGCCCAACTGAATTTTTTAATGTTCTAAGATACGCTTCAACAAGTGAATAAAGTAGTTCCAACTGATAGTCCCTGCCATTCCTCAGGAAATAGCCTTTAGAATAATAAATAGTGTAACATTATAAGTAACTGTATCTGAAGCTTTACATGTTTTGATGATGTTAGCTCTAGTAACAAAATGCCATCATGCCATTTACTTTTTAAAACATAAAATATGATCAATTAAAAATAATTTACCACATCCTTTTAAATTTTTATATTGCTAACTTTACACTGGCCAAGGGTAATTTAGATTGTGTCAGCATTTCTTGAAATTAATGGCTAGCTAACTGGATACTGATGGAAATTAAATGTGTACCTGGGACCTAATATTAATACTGCTATAGCAACCATACAAAACTAATATTAGATATTATGTCACTTTTCAACAAGATGACTGCCTTTAGCACTAGATTTATATTGACAAGGACTATGAAAAACTTAAAAGAAAATCAGCATCTCATATGACATGATTTTAAGTAGTTTGCTAAATTTGTTTTCTTACATAAATGTATCATTGAAAAGGCAGAACAGCTTATTTTAGTTTAGGAGGCCAAAGACCAGAAAAGTCAGTTTTGCTCAAGGTCACACAAAATCCAGATCTCCTGACTTGCTCTCACTCCACAGCGCTATCTAAAAAGAAAATTTCCCAAAGGTTATATAGTATTAATTTACTAGTTCTGAATATTTATTCAATTCAGCCTGCCATATAGCGGGAAGAGCAGATTTAGTCATGATATTTTGGTTGGCATCATTTTCAGCAGGTAGCCATCTGCTACCTGTAATTGCAAAGTCATCACCTTTTTTCTGCAAATAACATCTGATGCCAAGCTGTTGCAGGAATGAATGTTCCCGAAAAAGAAATGAACTGAAAAACTAGTAGCTCTCATTGTCTCATTTCCTGTATGTGTTAATAAGAGTGTTTATAAATGTTACGGGTGATGGCACAGGACAAGCTGAGGTTGTTTTTGATAGACAGGGAGTATTTACCCAGTTGTCTGAGAAATTCTAATGGCTTTTGGCAGAAGTATAGTGATAGAGCTTTGTGAAATACCAGAACGATTATATTACCAGGCCCTTTAGCTTAATGAAGCTGGAATAGAACACAAGATCATCCCAATTTCCAAAACATGAAGAAATATACAATGTGACAATCACCATACTTCATTTTCAATACAAGTTGACCCTATAGATCAGAAACCACCTTCTCTCACTTCAAATGAGGAAAAGAAACTAGAATGTATGGGCTTCCTTCCTTCTCCCTCCTGCTTCCGATTTCTAGCATAAGCCTTGTGGAATAGTAGAAAGAGTGTTGGACTTGGAGTCAGAACAATTGGATTTGAATCTCACTGTTCTCTTTTTTTATTGCTTTTAGTAAGTCCCCTAAATTTGCCTCTTGTGAATACCTACTTCACATCAAGGTTGTGAGGATTAAATGACATTAAAAATGTGAAAGCTCCTTGTAAAACACACACCATATGAATGTGTAAATTATCAGTATTATTATTATTTTGGCTAAAAGAGAAAAGCTTAGTTCAACAATGAACTTTTATAAGTTCATAGTCAACTATTCAGTAACTTGCTGAAATAGTTGTGTAATTTTTTTGCTACCCACTAGTATTATAGAAAGGAAATTTAATTTAAAAACATAAAAAATAATATGGAAGTGGAGACATGAGCCAATAAAAGTTAAGACGTAATGAGTACAGGCTGAAACAGCACACTTAACTCAACCCATGTGTCTAGATGCAACTGCGTGTAGAGCGTGTCAGACAAGTGTCTGACTTCATAAAGCCATATGGTTTCACTGTGAGGAGGGGTGGGGGTGAGTTAAGGTCAGAGTGGTATACTTAGTTCTTAATTTCCTTCCATTTATTGGTTTGTGTCATTATTTTAAATTAGAATTTACATTTAACTGTTTACTAAGACTACTGTAATTGGCTTTGCCTCCAATTTTTGTTTGTTTGTTTTAGAAAAATACCACCACACCTGTTGTTGAATTAGAAACCCAATCTAAGCTAGAACACCCTGAGTGCAATATAGTGGCTATTGTATTAGATAAAGCCTCAATGGGTTCATTAGCTGTCACAGGGTGCTAAATGCCGTTTGTATGGAGGGCTATTGGCTTGCACAGCAGAAATAAAATGAACATACAAAAAACTGAGTTCCAACAGGTAAAAAACTTAATTTCATTTTCAAAAATCAACGTGGTTTTGTTTTACAATTCAACCATTGAATCTAATTATTTTTCAATCAGCAAAATTAGTACAGCTCAGTTTCAGAGTAAGGACAGCTAAATAAGAGAGAGAAGAAGGGAGGAAGGGGTAAAGAGTGACACAGTGTGAGAAGAGCAGACGTTTAGATAAAAATGCTAAGCTAGGAGAGTGGTTGAAGTCATGTGATACCGTGGGAAGACTGTAAGGCTCAAGGGAGAGGGGGTTAGTGCCTAAATGATCCTCAGAAGACCAAGAAGCAATGTTACCCCTCTGATTCTGCGGGACGGTAGATTTCTGCCTCCTTTATCACTGCTCATTCATGCAAACTAACTGGTTTATCTCAGCTTATAGCTCCTCGACAGCATTCATCTTTATATCCTGAGAGTCTTGGTCTCAAACGAGACAGCTACTTACTGCAGCCCACCAGTTTGGGGCAAAGTGGATCATGAGAGATTCTTTTCTGAGCCTTCTCATACTGGTCTGGATGAAATCAACTGGAGGGAATCCATTCCTTCCATGGAACAGAGAAGGCAGGAGTGGTTTGCCAGGGACCAAACTAATAAAATCAGCCAGTTTTACATTTTACCAAAATTACTTCTGACACATGACTTTTAGAGTCAGGCTTATACTGTCAATAAATTTTTCATGGAAAGTTGGGTTATTTAGATCAGTGAGGTTCACATAGCAAACTCCAGCTGTAATATGCCAGCTAAATTGCAACCCAGTGGCCTGAAAGAATTAATTCATCTCCCAAAATGTGAAATTAAATCCTACGGAGTAACATTACATGACTGATGATGTACTGAATTAAATTAAAGGAAGACTTGAATGCTTGTTAAAAAAATATCGCTTACATAAACCAGTTTATAACCACATGTGAGTCTCCTAATGGATCATGTTATTGTGAGTCCACCATGACAAAAATCCAAAATGTGAACTTATTAGAGAGTTGTTGAATTTAGGAAAGATACACTACTTCGTTCTATTTCTTTTCTTTTATATTTTTTGCCTGCCAAATAGTTCAACTTTTAATATCATGTTAGACCAAGGTAGGGTTAGTATCTTAGAAATATTCATTTGAATCTCGGATCCTTTATCAAATAGCAGCTTTGGCCCCTTTTCTCTCCCACACCGAATGCGATGAACTTACTAACCGCTAGATCTGGGAGACGGGGCGCAGCGCCTCGCCAAGCGCCGGCCCGGGGCCTGCGCCTTCCCCGCGGTGGGCGGCCTGGCTGTTTGCTGCCCTCTCGGGCGAACCCACGCGGCTTTCACTTCCCATCTCCCAGGGAGGGATCTGAGCCCCGCCTGCATGTGCCTCTCCTTTTGCCATCTTGAGGTGACGTGAGCTCATGGAGCCCAGAGGCAGAAGCTCCACTTTGTGGCTCTCCAGACGGGAAGATGGCTTTTCTGCTCCGCTTTTATTAGCGGTGGCCCTTTTCCTGTAAAGGGCGCTCATATTTTACTCAGGTTTGAATGTCATGCAAAAGGTCCATGTGACAGCACACAAGGCCCCGTGCAGAGGATGAGGGAGAAAAGCATGAGCTGGCGGCTTCTCCACATCCGGCAAGTCCTCTTGCAGAAGATCTTTCTGTCTTTCTCTGGGGCGCAGCTAGGACCCAGCCTCGCCGCAAGGAGAGGGAAATCCTCAAGTGAGAAATAGCTGAAATAGACACAAGTTTAATGTCTTCCAGTTTTCTCTTTGGATACTTGTGATATGTAACAGATTTACACACACGCACACACATATGTATACATATAAAAATTAATTCCTTATGTCTATTGCTGTAGGTTTCTTTCCCCTTTCCTTTTTTTTCCAATCCCCTCCCCTCTAGGCTTTAAGCCACAACCACAAAGCACCAGGAGCCCCCCCAGGCGTCCTCTCTGAATCCTGACCCTTCCCGCTTGCACTTTCAGACACTCCTCCTAAAGCCCTGCCTTCATCAGGTCGCTGCCTTGCTCAGAGCAGAGGGTGGTGGGNTCCGAAAGCCCTGCCTTCATCAGGTCGCTGCCTTGCTCAGAGCAGAGGGTGGTGGGCATACCACTCCAGCCTCATCAGATTAAGCCCATCAGCGGGTGTTCAAGGCCCCTCTGTGTGGCACTGACCTCCCCCTACAGCCTTAGCCCCCCCGCTGCTCCTCACACTAGCCTAGCTCACACCGACACACAGGGTCCATCCTGCCTCCTTGTAGAGTCTCTCTCTCCTCCTGTCCAAATCCTACTCGTTCTCTGATCCAGTTTACATCCCACTTTCTCCCCATATCCTTCTAGGAAGGATCTAGGCTTATTACTGCCTCCAGAACTTTAATTTCTGCTTTGCTCTAAGCCTGTACTGACCAACTGTCCTGGTCCTGCAGCCTTGTCTCATGCCCCTCCATCCTGAACTCATAGAAAACACTCAGCACATACTTGATTCGGTGACACTAACGAATGGGACCAATCTTCCTTCTAAACTGAGCAATAAGATCTGTGCTTAAATGTTTACTTCTTAAAATGCAAATTATTGGAACAGGTAGTAAAAATCACATTGAATAACCCTCTCCTATTACTAACCATCAAGTTGCACCCTTGGCACTAAGTCTGCCTGTAGCAGTCAGCTGTGATGCCCTCTCACAGGCCACCAGTCCTTTGTGTCCCCACCTGCACTGAGCTACACAGGCCTTTTCTAAATGTGCTACAAGCATTAGAAATGGGATTGTGGATTCTTAGACCCTGGGTAGGTGTCTATGTATATTTGTCTTGAAGGGGGATTTTCTCTTTGAGTGAGTTGTGGTTTTTGTCTTTCTTTTAACTAAGGATTTAAATAACCAGCAGTTGCCTGAATATAAAGCGTCACTTTTTTCATAAATAGGAACAATACTTATTTCTGAATAGTTGCAAGTGGAGGAATAATTAGCATATTATTATCCAGTCATTCTATTTCAACCTAAATTTTGCATTTAGGATTCTAGGACTCTTCATCCGCGGCATCGAAGAAAACAGCAGGTCCAAGCGGGAAGGACTATTCCATGAAAATGAATGTATTGTTAAAATCAACCATGTGGACCTCGCAGACAAAACCTTTGTTCAGTAAGCATTCTCTTCATTATTTTATTTACTGTATCAATCCCTAGAATGTTCATAATCATTACTGAGATCATTATGATCAAAATTCTAGATAGAATTTCTGTCAGTTCCCTTCGATTGACCCCAGAACACCCATTTTTAATTGTATCTTATGTTTTTGCATACTCAAAGGTGGCCTGCATATGTCCCTCGCAGCCCCAGGAAAGGATGATAAACTGCAGAACAGAGCAAGCCTTCCTGCCTGGTTGTCTTTCTAGGGCAGCGATAGATGGGTTTGTTTTTCTTGGGATACGGGTCACCAATACTGGTATTTAATGACTCTTTTCACAAACTGTTAGTTCAGCTTATTAATTAACTTACTTGGTGTCAGCAGTCTTCCTTCAACTAAATATCTGTGAGAGATGTCTGTAAGGACTCACTGAAAAACAGAAACAAAGGGGAAAAATTAAAATACTCTCCCTCAAGAAATCATTTCTCTGTGCATGAAAATGTTATGGGAATAGGTTTGTTGACCTAAGAATTAGAAGATGTAGCAGCCTGCATATGTTTTTAAAATGTATGTTGGCACTGCAGTGGGATTCTGGAGCAGGAAAATGAATGTGATGAAGACTTCTTAGTAAATCACCATCCTCTTGTTTCTGATCAAAACAACTCATATATATATCTCTTCTCAGTGGCCATTAGTTGTCAGTACAGTGTGTGAGGTCAGTGGTTGTGGGCTTGGGGGGCAGCAGACACTGGCTGCTTAAGGTTGGAAGAAACTGAAGCCTAATAGTCTATTTCTGAAAATAATGAAAAATAGATAAAACTATAGTCATTGTTGATAATGATGTTATTTTTCTATACCACTGTGCTTTTTACAAGGACTTGATTGGTATATAAGGCAGACATTATCATATCTATTTTATAGAGGCAGAAATTGGGGCTCATAAAAATAAATTCATTATGGAGTTAGCAGAGAGCAGAAACTGACTCCTGGCTAAGGAACGGACCAGGGGAGCTGGGCTGTCAAATGCAGTCTTCTCCTTCCTTTTCTAACCACGCAGGCAACTCAGCGCTTGAGTAAGGTGAGGGCCGCAGGTGGCAGTGGGAATTAGGGTTCATTACTATTTGGCGTGGCTGCTCATAACAGACCTGAAATTAAAGTAGCTCAAAAAAAATTAAAATCTAATTTTTCTAAGGACAGAAAGTATGGAGGTGGCTGTCCGGCGTTGCTGTGGTGGGCCCACCATCGTCGGCATGGTAGGCATCTCTTTCCCCTTTACTGTGTGGCCGCCACCTTTAAGCTGAGTCACGGTCACAGGGTGGCTGCTGGAGCTCCATCCATCACTTCTGAGTTTCAAGAAAGAGGAAAGAGAAACTGGAAAAAAAAACCAAAAAGTTTCTGCTTCCCAGATAATCCAGCTTTTCTCTCCCCCTTCACTGTGCCTCATTGGCAAGAAAAGCTGGGAGAGGGAGTTATTTTACCTCGCCATCAGGCGCAAAGAAGGAGGGGAGGAAAAGGGACATCTGTAATATTTTAAACAAAAATAAAATTTAAAAAAAAAAAAAAAAGTAGGAAATTTGTGGGAAAACACAAAG